TTAAGAATTGTTCATAAATGATTCAGAATGGTTCAGAATGAATAAGAATTGTTCATAAATGATTCAGAATGGTTCAGAATGAATAAGAGCTGTTTAAAAATGATTAAGAATCGGTCGATAGAAACAGTTCTAAAACGATTCCATAGCGAATCGATCGATCGATGGATAGTGAATCGTTTAAAACTGTTTAGAACTGGTTCTGTTCAGGATTGTACCTATTATAGGTTATAAATTTTTTCAAGTCAAATTCCTATAAACATTGCAATCTCTTTATAGAAAACGACAAATTGAATTCGAACTCGAACGGTGTCAGTAGCGATTCCGAACAGTTCGGAACAGTCCTGTACTATCAAATCGAACGATTCTTTTGACTTTTTTTTTATTGATTCAGAATGAATAAGAGATGTTTCGAATCGATCGACCGATAGTCAATCGTTTATAACTGTTTCGAACTGGTTCTGTTCAGAATTCTACCTATAACTTATTTTTGTCAAATTCCCATAAACATTTCAATCTCTATCTGTATAGAAAACGGCAAATTGAATTCGAACTTGAACGGCCGCGTCGGTTCCGAACGGTTCGGAACAGTCCGGAACTAGCAAATCGAACTATTTTTTTGTTTTTTGTTATTAATTGTGTTAATTTATTTGTTTTTTACAGTTTCTCAGTGTGCGTAGGGTAGATTAGGGCAAATTGGAACTCGATTTTTTTAACTTTTTTACTTTTTTTTCTTTTTTACAGTCTCTCAGTGTGCGTAGGGTAGATTAGGACAAATTGGAACTCGATTTTTTTTAACTTTTTAGTTTTTTTATTTTTTTTTCAGTTTCTTAGTGTGCGTAGGGTAGATTAGGGCAAATTGGAACTCGATTTTTTTTAACTTTTTTTACTTATTTTTTCTTTTTTTCAGTTTCTCAACGTGTGTAGGATAGAGTAGGGCAAATATGAACTCGATTTTTTTAATTTTTTTTTACTTTTACTTTTTTTACAGTTTCTCAGTGTGTTTAGGGTAGAGTAGGGAAATTGGAACTCGATTTTTTTTAACTTTTTTTACTTTTTTTTTTTCTTTTTTTCAGTTTCTCAGCGTGTGTAGGGTAGAGTAGGGCAAATATGAACTCGATTTTTTTAATTTTTTTTGACTTTTACTTTTTTTACAGTTTCTCAGTGTGTTTAGGGTAGAGTAGGGCAAATTGGAACTCGATTTTTTTTAACTTTTTTTACTTATTTTTTCTTTTTTTCAGTTTCTCAGCGTGTGTAGGGTAGAGTAGGGCAAATATGAACTCGATTTTTTAAATTTTTTTTGACTTTTACTTTTTTTACAGTTTCTCAGTGTGTTTAGGGTAGAGTAGGGCAAATTGGAACTCGATTTTTTTTTAACTTTTTCTTACTTTTTTAACTTTTTCTTACTTTTTTACTTTTTTTCAGTTTCTCAGTGTGCGTAGGGTAGAGTAGGGCAAATTGGAACTCGATTTTTTAACTTTTTTTTACTTTTACTTTTTTTACAGTTTTTCAGTGTGTTTAGGGTAGAGTAGGGCAAATATGAACTCGATTTTTTTAATTTTTTTTTACTTTTACTTTTTTTTACAGTTTCTCAGTGTGTTTAGGGTAGAGTAGGGCAAATTGGAACTCGATTTTTTTTTAACTTTTTCTTACTTTTTTTACTTTTTTTTGTCTTTTTTTCAGTTTCTCAGCGTGTGTAGGGTAGAGTAGGGCAAATATGAACTCGATTTTTTTAATTTTTTTTTACTTTTACTTTTTTACAGTTTCTCAGTGTGTTTAGGGTAGAGTAGGGCAAATTGGAACTCGATTTTTTTTAACTTTTTCTTACTTTTTTTACTTTTTCTTACTTTTTTACTTTTTTTTCAGTTTCTCAGTGTGCTTAGGGTAGATTAGGGCAAATTGGAACTCGATTTTTTTAACTTGTTTTTACTTTTTTTACTTTTTTTTTCAGTTTCTCAGTGTCTTTAGGGTAGAGTAGGGCAAATATAAACTCGATTTTTTTTTAACTTTTTTTTTAATTATTTTTAAAATTTTTTTCCTAACTTTTTTTTTCTTTTTTTTTCAGTTTCTCAGTGTGCGTAGGCGTCGTAGAACAACTGGCGAAATGTTGTTTATCAGTACGAGGACCGGTTCACGACATGCCAAATACTTGCTCGTTTCTCTTGGCCGCCTTAGAATTTCTCGCCGCTTTGGCGGATCACGCGCCTGAAGATTCCGATGCCACGCATTTGGTACGTATTCTACATACAGTGTGTCCCAATGAGTTGTATGCAAATGGGGAAAAAGTTTAACTTACGTTTCACAAAAGAAAAATTATTCTTGATAAAATTCTCTGCGTTGCTGGTAGATTCGCTATCAGGTATAAAATGTTTAAAAAATTGCATTGAATATATACAGGGAAAATAAAAAAGAATGATTTGGACCGCGAGAAAAATATGCACAAACTGTTGGGGAGCAAAATGTTCGTTGAAATTCATAATATAACTTTAATTATATCGAAAACCAATCGAGATTATAGTATGAAATATTTATCATTTTATAGAAATGATAATCCTCTACAACTTTCAAGGAATAAATTTTTTTCAAGAACTTCAAAATTTCCTAGATATTTTGACTTTTTCTAGTATAATTACTTGAACAAAAAACTAATTTTAAAATGCAACTCATTAAAACACTTCAATTATCTCGAAAACCAATCGAGATTATAGTACGAAATATTTTTCATTTTATAGAAATAATAATCCTCTACAACTTTCAAGGAATAAATTTTTTTCAAAAACTCCAAAATTTCCTAGATATTTTGACTTTTTCTAGTATAATTACTTGAACAAAAAACTAATTTTAAAGTGCAACTCTTTAAAAGACTTCAATTATCTCAAAGACCAATCGAGATTATAAAACGAAATCTTCATCATTTTATAGAGAAAACAATTCTCTACAACTTTCAAAGAATACTTTTTTTTCAAAAACCCCAAAATTTCCAAGATATGTCCAATTTTTTTAGTGCAAATATATGAACAGAAAACTAATTTTAAAGTGTCTAACTCTTAAAAAAACTTCAAATATCTCGACGACCAATCGAGATTATAAAACGAAATCTTCATAATTTTATAGAAAAATCAATTCTCTACAACTTTCAAAGAACACATTTTTTTCAAAAACCCACAAAATTTCTTAGATATTTCTAATTTTTTAGTACAATTACATGAACAAAAAACTAATTTTTAAGTGCACAACTCTTTAAAAAGCTTCATTTATCTTGAAATCCAATCGAGATTATAGAACGAAATCTTCATCATTTTATAGAAAAAACAATTCTCTACAACTTTCAAAGAATACATTTTTTTCAAAAACCCACAAAATTTCTTAGATATTTTTAATTTTTTAGTACAATTACATGAACAAAAACTAATTTTAAAGTGCACAACTCTTTAAAAAGCTTCATTTATCTTGAAAACCAATCGAAATTATAAAACGAAACCTTCATAGTTTTATAGAAAAAACAATTCTCTACAACTTTCAAAGAATACATTTTTTTCAAAAACCCACAAAATTTCTTAGATATTTTTAATTTTTTAGTACAATTACATGAACAAAAAACTAATTTTTAAGTGCACAACTCTTTAAAAAGCTTCATTTATCTTGAAAACCAATCGAAATTATAGAACGAAATCTTCATAGTTTTATAGAAAAAATAATTCTCTACAACTTTCAAAGAATACATTTTTTTCAAAAACCCACAAAATTTCTTAGATATTTCTAACTTTTTAGTACAATTACATGAACAAAAAACTAATTTTTATGTGCACAACTTTTTAAAAAGCTTCATTTATCTTGAAAACCAATCGAAATTATAGAACGAAATCTTCATAGTTTTATAGAAAAAACAATTCACTACAACTTTCAAAGAATACATTTTTTCAAAAACCCACAAAATGTCTTAGATATTTTTAATTTTTTAGTACAATTACTTGAACAAAAAACTAATTTTTAAGTGCACAACTCTTTAAAAAGCTTCATTTATCTTGAAAACCAATCGAAATTATAGAACGAAACCTTCATAGTTTTATAGAAAAAACAATTCTCTACAACTTTCAAAGAACACATTTTTTTCAAAAACCCCAAAATTTCCCAGATATTTCCAATTTTTTAGTACAATTACATGAACAAAAAACTAATTTTTAAGTGCACAACTTTTTAAAAAACCTCAAATATCTCGAAAACCAATCGAGAAAAATTTATAACTCAAAAACTATGCATTTTACAAAAAAGTGTTTTCAAACAAAAGCACCCTAAAATTTCCAAAAACCATCAATATACAGGGTGGTCCGTTTGAAATAACCTCCAAATAAAAAATTCCAGGTGAGCACTTTATTAGCCACCGAATTGCTGGGCTGCGTATCGATGTTGTACGGGCTGCTCCTGCCGCCCGATTCGACGCCCAGGGTGGATGGGCAACGGCCCCCCACCCTGCCCAAACCCTGTCTCGATCTCGCCTCGGTC